GTGCTTGCGAAACGTCCGGAAGAAATTCCATTTTACGACGGCCTAAAAACCCGAAAAACCCATTAGTTTCAGAGTTTAGTGTGATGTAAATTCAGATGCAAAACAAATGTCTGAGTGTCTTCAGGCATTTCAAGCAGGGGACGCTTCCAAGGTGCTTTCGGTCCGTTACATGACTGCATTGGGCTGAAAGTCCTACAAACTCTTACAAAAAATAGAATTGTTCATTCAATCTCCCATATTGCCCACTGAAATATTTACTGAAAAAATGATCACATGTATTTTAGTATTCCACGGGAATTGGAATGAAACACAAAAATGGGCAAGTCTTTGCCCCATAAATTCGCCTGAATGCACGTTGCATTATTAAACAACGTAAAATTGCGATAAAAGCGAAAAGAAAAAATATATAAGCTTGCGCGCTCTGTACCGTCGAACAGGTAAAGCGTCGCGACGCTTTAGTATAGTGCGGGCTGCGGACTGAAATAAATACGCGGCGTCGGTCGTATCCAGACGCCAACGCGAGTTTTCAGTGAGTTTAGTTCTGGTTGCAGCGAAATGCCTTAGGTACGGAAAAAAAACCCATTCTCGATCCCACTTGCAGGAAATTCGCTCATATCCAGCCAAAATCGCCGACTTTTCAACGAGCAAACAGGTGAAAAGTGAGGCGTTAGGTAATCGTGGAAAGTTGAAAAAGTCGGTGCGAACAATACTTTTGTGAAAAATACGCCAAGTCGTTCCAATTTTTCAACAAACAAACCTACAGAAGTTTGTGGGTAGAAGCAGTGGTTCGAATATAACTTTCAACGGGTCCGCAGTTAAAACGTGTAAAGTTTCCAAACCAAGTAATTAGTTGCTCTTTCCTCGGATCATTTAGATCCCGTTCAATATCATGATTGCATTGAACGGATTATCATTTGATTATCGGATTATCCATTGATTGGAAAATTGAGCTTCTTTGCCCGACTCCATTTGAATGAGCGCAGCTCCGCTGTTTGCCACATTTGTAAATCATATTAAAAAACATATTTTCTTCTAACTGCACACGGCAAACACACTGTTGCTGTCGAATTTTCTTTAACAGTTCGAACGGCTTGCAGGAGCGGCAAAAGAAAAATTAATGGCAATTTGAAACGAATAACTCAAGTTGGAAATTCCATAAGGAAAGCGAAATTAAATTTCCCCCGTTTACCCATTCCATGTTCTGCAGGAGTTTCGCTCAAAGAAAAAATGAACTCGCAACTTGAAGTTGGGATGAGGACTTTTTAAGTGCCAATTCACTTACAGTTGGATCTTCGCGAAAGTAGATTTACATCGCAATTAATCGCGATAAAACCCCCTTTTTCACAACTTTTATGGTTAATTAAATACGTTTGAATTAGTGAGTGAAGAACGCCACTGAAACCCTATCAGGAGCGCTCATATATTTTTTCATAGAAAGATTTTCCGCTGATCTTATTAGGTGGAAAAGTCTCAAAAAGGAAATTCGATCGCTCTGTGCCAGCGCTGGTAAATAGTTTACTGTTACTAATGGACCCGAGAGCAGTTTGATCCAAATGGATACTCCGAGGAGTTTTTGCGATACTATCCATAACTAACAAAGGTACAAACTTGAAATCTCGTGCGCTTTTGAGACTTTCTGCCGAAATTCTAGGAAAACTCATCAGTTTTCCGCAAACATTTCCTTCAAATGCAGTTGATTCAACCGCACAAGTTTGCAGTTTGCGTCCAAATTTTCCTCTATTACAAATTAACAGCCAGAACGACACTCAACCGAACTCAACATAACGAGTTATTCGCCGCTAGCTTTCATAATAGAATGCACTCAGTCCAGAATAAAGAGTGATGTGTTTAAACTTGCACTATCGTGTATCATGATAGAGTGGAAAATTACATGGATTTTCACTCTGTTTAATCCATAAAGTGCAATATTTTGAGCATGGAAACGTTGTGACAAACTACACATGCCAGCAACATGAATAAATAATTGTTAAACACTCAAACAAACTGCGGGGCCTTTTCTGTTTCGGGATAAATGACTCTCTATTCGATGCGAAATATTTCAAACTAATTTCAGTTTGGTTAATTATTCTGCCCCCGTCCGATAAGTCTGTTAATTGATATTCAAATGGTCGGCTCCATACAAAAAGGCCAACAATTACCTTTAGGAAAATGACCATTTCATTCGTTTCCAATGTCTAATGGGCTGGAAAATGCGTTTTATCTGTTGGCAACTGGGATAAAACAGAGCGGTTTATCGGCTTTTTTTTTTTTTTTACTTTCAATCGGGGTGCTGATATGGTTTAGGAATGCTTCCATCCGCAGCTTGGAACAGTTAAAATTTCCGGCAAAAATTCACATCATTTCTGTTAAGTGAAGATGGTCTTTCCAGGTTTATCTGGACGCTGGTGACTTTGAGCTGCGCGATGCGATGCTGAAAATGAGCAAACGAGCGAGTTTGGGGGACTCTAAGAAATTAATTTTCTTTATCAGTTAAACTAGTTTTTTCACATTTAAATCTGCACATTTTCTCTTTCGAGTGATGTTATGGGAAGCATTGGGACATTTTTGGTTCGTCCTTGGCGAATTTTTGAAAAATCCGTGTTGTCCAACGACCAATCGCCTCAATTCAATATCCGCAAAAATCCTGGAAACTCCCAGAAATTGCCCATTAAAGTGCCTTTTCCTACATTTAAAGCAGTGAATTTCTCTTTCCAATGATATTATGAGCCCGATTGTGGGATTTTTGGGTTTTTCTTGTCAACATTTTGAAAAATTCGTGTTTTTCAACGGACAATCGCTCCTCCTTAGTAACTGAAAACATCGTGGAAACTCCCAGAAATTTCCTATTAAAGTGCCTTTTCCTACATTTAAAGCAGTGCATTTTCTCTTTCGAATAATATTATGAGTCCGATTG